CCTAGAAGAAATGGATAAATTCCTAGAAACATACAATCTTCCAAAACTAAATCAGGAAGAAATAAAAAACTTGAACACACCCAATACTAGTAATGAAACTGAATTGGTAATCAAAAAACTCCAAGGAAACAAAAGTCCAGGACCCAGTGGATTCACAGGTAAATTCTACTAAACATTAAAAAAGAGTTAATACCTATTCTCTTCAAACTATTCCAAAAATAGAAGAGGAAGGAAAGCTTCCAAATACATCCTATGAGGCCAGCATTACTCTGAACCAAAACCAGACCAAGATGCTATAAAAAAAGAAAACCACAGGTCAATATCCCTGATGAACTCAGATGCAAAAATCCTCAACAAAATATCAGCAAACCAAATCCAAAAATATATTAAAAGTATCATTCACACAATCAAGTAGGACTTATTCAGGGAATACAAGGATGGTTCAACATCGGAAAATCCATCAATGGGATACACCACATTAACAAAATGAAGGATAAAAACCACAGAAGCATTTCAATAAATGCAGAAAAAGTATTTGACAAAATTCAACACCTATTCATGATAAAAAAAGAAAACCTCTAAAAAAATTGAGTTTAAAGGGAACATACCTCAACATAATAAAGGTCACATATGACAAACCCACAACTAAAATCATACATAATGGTGAAAAACAGAGCTTTCCCTCTAAGATCGGGGACAAGAGAAGGATGTCCACTCTCACTACTTTTATTCAACATAGTACTGGAAGTCCTAGACACAGCAATGGATGAAAAATAAAAGGCATCCAAACTGATAAGAAAGAAGTAGTAAAACTGTCGCTAGTTGCAGATGACATGATACTATATATAGAAAACCCTAAAGACTCCACCAAAAAACTATTAGAATAAATGAATTCTGTAAAGTTGCAGGATAAAAAAGTAATACACAAAAATACGTTGAATTTCTGTAATTAATAACGAAGTTGCAGAAAGAGAAATTACAATTTCATTTACAATTGCACCAAAAAGAATAAAATAACTAGGAATAAACTTAACCCAAGAGATGAAAGACCTCTAAAACTATAACACACTGATGAAAGAAACTGAAGATGACACAAACAAATGGAAAGATAATCCATGCTCATGGATTAGAAGAATTAATATTATTAAAACATCCATACTGCCCAAAGCCATCTACAGATTGAATGCAATCCCTATCAAAACACCAACAGCGGGCGCCTGGGTGGCTCAGATGGTTAAGCATCTGCCTTCGGCTCAGGTCATGATCTCAGGGTCCTGGGATCGAGTCCCGCATCGGGCTCCCTGCTCCTAGGGAGACTGCTTCTCCCTCTGCCCCCCCCCTCTTGTCTGTCATGAATAAATAAATAAAATCTTTAAAAAAAAACAAAAACAAAACACCAACAGCATTGTTCACATAACTAGAACAAATAATCCTAAAATTTGTACGGAGCCACAAAAGACCCTGAATAGCCAAAGCAATCTTGTGAAAGAAGAACAAAGCTGGAGGTATTACAATCCCAGATTTCAAGATACACTAGAGAGCTATAATAATGAAAACAGTATGGTGCTGGCACAAATACAGACACACAGATCAACAGAACAGAATAGAGAGCCCAGAAATACCCCAACACTTATATGGTCAATGAACCTGTGACAAAGGAGGCAAGAATATACAATGGGGGAAAAGACAGTCTCTTCAATAAATGGTGCTGGGAAAACTGGACAGGTACATGCAAAAGATTAAACTGGACCACTTTCTAACACCATACACAAAACTAAACTCAAAATGGATTAAATGTGAGACCTGAAATCATAAAATTCCTAAAGAAAAATAGGCAGCAATTTCTTTGCCATTAGCCTTAGCAACTTTTTTCTAGATAGTCTCCTCAGAAAAGGGATACAAAAGCAAAAATAAATGATTGGGACTGCATCCAAATAAAAAGCTTTTGCACAGTGAAGGAAACCATCAACAAAATGAAAAGGCAACCTACTGAATAAGAGAAGATATTTGCCAATGATGTATCTGATAAGGGGTTAGTATCCAAAACATATAAAGAACTTATACAAGTCAACAGCAAAAACAAACAAAAAACTCAAACAAATAATCCAATTAAAAAATGGGCAGAGGACCTGAACAGACATTTTTCCAAAGAAGACATCCAAATGGCCAACAGACACATGAAAAGATACTCAGCATCATTTGTCATCAAGGAAATGCAAATCGAAACCACAATGAGATATCACCTCATACCTATCAGAATGGCTAAAATTAACAACACAAGAAACAACAAGTGTTGGGGAGGATATGGAAAAAAAGGAACCCTCATGCACTTTTGGTTGGTGGGAATGTAAATTTCACAGCCACTGTGAAAGCCAGAATGGAAGTTCCTCAAAAAATTAAAAATAGAACTACCCTATGATCCAGTAATTCCACTACTGGATATTTACCCAGAGAAAATGAAAACACTAATTTGAAAAGATGTATACACCCCTAGTTTTATTACATCATTATTTACAATAGCCAAGACATGGAAGTAACTTAAATGTCCACTAATAGATGAATAAAGAAAATATGGTACATACATACAATGGAATATTACTGAGCCATAAAAAAGAATGAAATCTACACTGTTGGTGGGAATGCAAGCTGGTGCAGCCACTCTGGAAAACAGTATGGAGGTTCCTCAAAAAGTTGAAAATGGAGCTACCCTACAACCCAGCAATTGCACTACTGGGTATTTACCCCAAAGATAAATATGTAGTGATCCAAAGGGGTACCTGTACCCCAATGTTTATAGCAGCAATGTCCACAATAGCCAAACTATGAAAAGAGCCTAGATGTCCATCAACAGATGAATGAATAAAGAAGATATGGTATATGTATACAATGGAATATTATGCAGCCATCAAAAAATGAAATTTTGCCATTTGCAGTGATGGATGGAACTAGAGGGTATTATGCTAAGTGAAATAACTCAATCAGAGAAAGACAATTATCATATGATCTCACTGATATGTGGAATTTGAGAAACAAGACAGAGGGTCACAGGGGAATGGAGGGAAAAATGAAACAAGACAAAAGCAGAGAGGGAGACAAACCATAAGAGACTTTTTTTTTTTAAAGATTTTATTTATTTATTTGACAGAGAAAGACACAGCGAGAGAGGGAACACAAACGGGGAGTGGGAGAGGGAGAAGCAGACTCCCCGCCGAGCAGGGAGCCCGATGCGGGGCTCGATCCTGGGACTCCAGGATCATGACCTGAGCCGAAGGCAGTCGCTCAACCAACTGAGCCACCCAGGCGCCCCATAAGAGACTCTTAATCTCAGGAAACAAACTGAGGGTTGCTGGAGTGGAGGGGGATGGGAGGAATGGGGTGGCTGGGTGATGGACATTGAGGAGGGTATGTGCTATGGTGAGCGCTATGAATTATGTAAGACTGATGAATCACAGACCTGTACCCCTGAAATAAATAATACATTATATGTTAATAAAAAAAAAAGAATGAAATCTTGCCATTTGTGACAACACAGATAGACCCAGAGGGTATTACACTAAGTGAAATAAGTCAGACAAAGACAAATATTGTATGATTTCACTTAAATGTGGAATCTTAAAAACAAACAAACAAATGAACAAACAAACAAAAAAAACAGAATCAGACCTATAAATACCAAGAATGAACTGATGGTTCATTCATAGCAGGGAGAGGAAACGGGGAGGGGCAAGATGGGTGAAGGGGAAGGGGTGGAATGGGCTTCCACTTACGGAATGTATAAGTTAGGGGGACGAAAGGCACAGCACAGGGCCCACAATCAATGGCACTATAATATATGTGCTGTATGGTGACCGATGGCAGCTACACTTGTGGTGAGCACAGCGTAAGGCACAGAATTGTTGAATCACTATGTCATACACCTGAAACTAACATAACAGTGTGTGTCAGCTCTACCTCCATAAAAGAAAAAAAATGAAAAGGCAAACTCTGGGAGTAGATATTTATAATACAAATAACAAGAAAAAGAACTCCAATCCATTATATGAGTAAAAATTCTATCAATCAGTAAAGAAAAGACAGAGATAACCCAATAGAAAAAATGGGTATTAACCAACAGTTCACAAAAGATGATATTCAAATGGCCAACAGACCCATGAAAATGTGCTCAATGAGTGATCTCTGATACCTTTCAGAATGGTCAAAATGAAAAAGACTGAGTCTTGGTGAAGATGTGGAACAACCAGAAATCTCTCTCACTGCATACGGCAGCATAAACAGTCACTTTGGGGGAAAAACTAGCAGGGGGTAGAGGAGTTATTACCCACTAAAGGAGAAAAAAAGAGATATTTTAACCAAATGCAGTGTTTGAATTCTGATTCAGATAAACCAAATGTAAACTGACTTTTTTTTAACAAATGGAGGAAAATCAGACGTGGATCAATATTAGTTAATATTAATTAATATTAATTAATGTTAATATTCCTGGGTGTGATCATGGTTAGTTTTTTTTTAAGATTTTTATTTATTTATTTGCCAGAGAGAGAGAGTGGCAGGCAGAGGGAGAGGGAGAAGCAGGCACCCCGCGGAGCAGGGAGCCCATGCGGGACTGGATCCCAGGACCCTGGAATCACAATCTGATCTGAAGGCAGATGCTTAACTGACTGAGCCACCCAGGCATCCCGATAATGGTTATTTTGTAAAAGTGCTTACCTGTTAGAGATACATACTGAAGTATTAACTAAAGAATGACCCAATGTCTAGGCTTTTCCTTAAAACACTTGCAGTGTATGCATGTGTACATAGACCCACACACAAAGAAGTTGTGGGAGTGATATATGAAACCAGATTTGCAGAAAGCAGATAATTACTGAAGGTGGGTGATGGGCACACAAGGGTTTATTACAGTCTTTTCTCTAATTTTGTATATGGCTTTAATTCCATGAATGACTTCAAAACATAAGGAAGCTGATGAAGGGGGAGCTGGAAAGAAATAAGATTTTTACCTCATAAACTGGCCCAATTTCATAATCTGTGAAAAATCCGATTGATGGTTTAGCTAGAAACACTGGAGTATCAGCACAACTGTGAGAGGGCAAATGAGGGGAGAAAGGCTGTTAGTTTCACCCATGTGATTTGTGCAAAATAAATACACCCAAACTGCCAAAGATAATCACAATATGTCATTTATTGGGTTTTGTTCCTATTGTTAAAGCAGGCAACAAAATAATTTTACCGTATGATAGAATCTTCGTGAAGATATGTGCAGCTGTGTGGTTCATTTTCAATATGCATACAGGAAGCTTCCACTCTGGAAGCTTCTACACCAGTATCCTGACTGGGTTTTTTATATAGGTGCTGTGTTTCTTTGCATATATTAGTCCAATTTTTCTTAATAAGAAAGATATCTTTTGACTAATAAGTGTTAATTGTTTTAAGTCCCCTATGAACTATGAACCCATGAAACCATTCATTCCCTTCATAAGGACAATTAATAAAATAAGCCAAAGGCACTCTGAAAAAAATCACAATTTATATGTATTATTTGCAATTAATCAAATTTTAAATATTTTTATTTTTAGGGTCATATTCCAAGACATATGAGTGCAAGGGAAGAGAACATGGCTACAGACCAAGACTGTTCAGATGAAAGCAGGGGACCAGCACTAACCCCCAATCCCTCAAAACTCCGGCAGGTCAGAAAAGCACAAACCCAGGCTTCTGGGGGATGTCCAAAGGCCAGGTCTGTGGGGAGCCCTGAAGACCTGCTCTGTTCTGATACTGACATCCCATTCTCCCACCTCCCCAGAAAGTCCAGACCAGACCCAGGACCTTCTGGGTTTACTCCCACACGTCCAACTTTCTGATAAGTCCAAGACAAGGAAAGACCCACCTCTGCTTCAAATCTCCACCCTGGAAATCTCCTGTCAGTACTGGCTTCTTCGGAGGAAAGAGAAGAGACTTGCCTCCATAGGGAGTGTTAGGAGGGAAAAACCGAGGGTTTTTTAGGAAGTGGTTCCGACTCTCCATTCTGGCAAGCAGAAGTCGCTCCAGTTCTCTCTGAGGCACGTGTAAGTGGCTCATCCACTTTTTATTCTTGGTTGGACCTGCCTTCTTTGAAACACAAATAAATAGAGTCCATGACAGGCCGGGGGACTGTGTGTGCTGACATCGGGCCAACTGCATGACCCCCCGGTAAGCAACGCAATCTCTCCTATTTCGCTGCAGACCCGCAACTTCCTGTGTCACCGGGAACTCCCTCCCCTCGACGGCTCCCTGTGCCCACTGTCCCCACACACCACCGAGCACGGGCTTCCACACCAACCTTGACGGCCTTGCGCTTGGCCTTTGAACACAAGTCCCCCGTCAGGCTGTCCACAGTGTAGTCTAACTCGTCTTGAGACTTAATGAGCGTCTTCTGGCAGGAAGCCTCAAGCTTCTTGGTCAGGTGCTTCTTGGGGACGGACCGCTTCTCACAACCGAATGTGAGTTTTGAACATCCGGGGACGGAGACACCTACGGCACCAAGGAATCAAACTGAGCTGCCACAGACTGAAGTGGCTGTTTCTAAGATGACTATAAAACCACCAAGACCACAGTTAGCTTGATACCTTCCCTTCAACTGTCACATTCACTACACTAGACATAATTGCTCTTTAACGTATAAAGTACTCCTGGAACTTATTCTGTGTACTTGAGACTTAGGACTAGAGTGTTACATATTTGTTTGATTGTCGAACATGGTCAAAGAACATGAGTAGACTACTGTCTGTCTGTCTCACGCATTCCCCATATGTAAACTTACTTTTCAAAAAGCTCACATGAGGAATCAAAGTTTGTATTAGCTTTTTACGCCTCTAAGATCATCCCCAGAAGGTTAAAGGAGAACACCCATTGCTAGCAAGAACTGGTACCAGTACAATACCTGGTAAATCCCCAATGCATGTTAACTCTACCCTCACCTATCTGCAGAAGATGGTGAATTCCCAACTAACTTCGCACTATTAAGTGGCTTAGTATCACGCGACGCTTACTTCTGCTCCCTCTCTCTGGCCTGCCCTCTCTACACAGCTCAGGGTGTCAATGGAACTCTGTTCTCCTGAGCACCCTCAATTCTCTGGATCCCAGTCTTCCCATCCCAAATGCCTTCTTAGCTCCAAAGCCTCAGAGGTCATCAAAGTCCCACTGACTGGGGTGCCTGGAGAGCTCATCTTCCAAACCTGGCACCACTGGGCCATCCGGATATGTGCCCAATGGATCCACAGAGCAACTTCTCCCTATCTATACAGACTCTGCCAAAAGTCTACCTCCCTGCTTAAACCCACAATCCAGCTCCCACCCCACTCACTCTCAGAAGATCCTGCCTCCTGCATCACAGGAAACTGGCCCGACATCACACATACGAATACACATCCTTCTCTGCCTCCCTATCCAGTCTGCCCACCAAACTCAAAGAAGGTACAGTTGCTCTTTTCCTACGTGGGGTATGGAAGAACCCCACGGTCCATGTTCTGGCTGCAGCAGGAAATTGCTCCTTTATCTATCTTCAGTCCCTCCCTCTCTTGGGTCATTCAACTACTTTTCTAAGCATTTTCATCTCTCTTGGTGTTGAACAGCTGACAAGGGCGCAAATTCCACGTGGAGGAGTTGAGACTTTTGTCTTGCAGGTGTTAGGGAGTCAGAGAGGAAGTGGCATGCTTAGAGCTGACCCTCCTAAGAGTCACTATCAAAATTAAACAAAAGGGGGAAAAAAATCAATGAGGAAATGGCAGCAAAGGTGGCCAGAGTGGTCGCGTTCCTAAAGAACTTCCCGAGAATGAGAGCAGAGGCCCCAGCAGAGACAGAAGCCTTACCTTTAGGTGCAGAGCAAAATGGCACTCTGTCACTGTAGTAATCATCCGGGCAGATCAAATGGTGTTTCTGTAGCAACTCACTGTCTACACACCATCTGAACATAGTCTTTGCTACGTAGAAGGGAAGAAGGACAAAGGTGTTTGAAGCCAAACTGACGTTAAAGAACCTGCACCCCAACCTTTTTCATCCTCCAAATCTAAACCATCTTACAAAATTCTTTCCAAGGACCAAGAACAAATTTATAATGACATGCATGTGGTCATTTCGAGATTTCAGAAATTAATCAGCAAATGTTGACCAGCCACTTCACAGAGGCCAACCATTAGTCAGGGCTGTGCTGTGGTCTTATTTGAGCTAAAATACTGTGTGACTCAAGGAAAGGTCTATTAATAAAATATAATTAAGGACAGTATGGTAGATTAAAGAAATGGCCCCAATCCTTCACCCTTCTCTGTATCCACACCCTTTGCCAAAGGACTTTGCAGTTCCTTCTACTAGAGACAGAGTGCACGCCTTTGCCCTTGACTTCGGCCATGTGATGTGCTTTGGCCAATGAGATGTTGGCAGGGGTTTGCACAGCTGAGCCTTCTCTCTTGTGCCTTTGCCATCCTCATGAGAGAACTTCCCTGCCCCTGAGAAGAGTTCCTGCCTCTTTATCTTGGACTCCAGCATGAATCCATGTGGAGCAGACTTGAGCCTAATTTGTAACAAGGAGGCAAGTTCAGCTGGGCCCACAGCTTAAAGCTGGTCTAGCCAGCCAAGCCCAGGTAGATCAGCCAACCCCCAACAGATCCACTGACACATGAGAGAGAAAATCTCCTTTAATAGAGTGAGAAGTTAGTCATTAACATCCATGGCTTATGAGCCAAGGAAAAATAGGAGAGACATATTATTTAGAGGTATCCAGAAGAAGTAAAGCTAAAAATGGCTACCTTTGGCAGGTGGGCTGAGATTGGGAGAGGTGACATGGAGGATTTTTTTCAATAGACTTTATTTTTTATTTTATTTTATTTTATTTTTTAAAGATTTTACTTATTTCTTTGTCAGAGAGAGAGAATGAGCACAAGCAGGGGGAGGCAGGCAGACGGAGAAGCAGGCTCCCTGCTGAGCAAGGAGCCCGATGCAGGACTCGATCCCAGGACTCTGGGATCACGACCTGAGCCAAAGGCAGACGTTTAACTGACTGAGCCACTCAGGCGTCCCTAGACTTTATTTCTTAGAGCACTTTTTGGTTCATAGAAAAATTGGGTGGAATGGAGATGTCCCATGGAGCCCCTGGCCCCACACATGCACAGCCACCCCCACCATCAACACACCCCACCAGAGTGGTACATCTGTTCCAACTGATGATCCCACACTGACACACTGTTGTCATACAGAGTCCATACTTTACATTACAGTTCACTCTTGGTGTTGGAGATCTATGGGTTTGGACAACTTTATAATGACATGCATGGGTAGAGGCTTTTTATATTTCACTAGAAGCTTTTCTAAACTATTTGATTTTTTTAAAACCATGAATATTAACACTTTGATAAAAACTCAGGAATAAATAAGATGAATGGAAGACTCAGGAAGTTTTCAAACTTCGTTGCTTGCTCCATTAACCAACATGGCCTTGCCTTTCAGAGGTTTCCTATAACCAAGGGTGAGACAAGCGAAGAATAAATGTTTCTCCCATAATAGTTATTAATTTAGGAATTTCAAGGTTTGGCTTAGTTCCTTTTATAGTCAGGGTTCAGTGAGGAAAACAGAAATCACTCTCTGTATGTCATATATAAAGGGGCTGAATGCAGGGGACTATGGAATGGGAGATCGAAGGTCAGGGAGACTATCACTACCAACTTAAGACAGCAGCACTGAGGGAGGGGCTTCTCAAGAAGTTATCTGGAAGCTGCTGTGAAACTCAGAGCTGCTCAGTCATCTGCCTGCTACTGCTTCTGGAGAATAGTGACCTCCTCCTCCTCCAAAACTCAACAAGAGCCTTTCATGAGTGACCTAACATGGAACCATGGGGAAAAGTTGCATTCTGGGAAATGCCTCGCCTCTCCTTTGCAATACAGAGACCTCAGCAGGGGGTGGCAGGAATGCCAAGTTCTGTTCCAGCCCAGTTCCCAAGGACTTTGGTGACGGCCTATTTGAAATATTACAAGATAAAACTTCCACACAAAGGGCAGGGCCATGTGAGAAGATGTAGCCTCTCTCTTCTTTTTTTTTTTTTAAGATTTTATTTATTTATTTGAGAGAGAGAGAATGAGAGACAGAGAGCACGAGAGGGAAGAGGGTCAGAGGGAGAAGCAGACCCCCTGCTGAGCAGGGAGCCCGACGCGGGACTCGATCCCGGGACTCCAGGATCATGACCTGAGCCGAAGGCAGTCGCCCAACCAACTGAGCCACCCAGGCGCCCAGCCTCTCTCTTCTGATACCCTTGTCTCCGCAGTCCTCCCCCAGGCTGTGGACAGTTAGGTGTTACGTCTGCAGAAGCAGGGGGCAGGTTGTGTGTCAGCTCTTTGGAAAGTCTCTCTCCATGTCCGGCCTGGAACACCCCTCACTGGCCTTGTGAGCATCCTCCTCCACCCGGGAAGAGTGGGCTTCCTGCACCGACCCTATGCTCCTGCACCTGGCTCTGTTCCACTCCCCAAGAGATAATGTGGACAATTTATCAGCAAAAGAAGGGAATGAAAGCACAAAATGTTTGATCTTCCCCCTCTGTCTGGAGAATTTACATATGTTTTCCACTTTGTGACATTTGCTTTTTGGGTTTTTTTTTAAAGATTTTATTTATTTATTTGACAGAGAGAGACAGTGAGAGAGGGAACACAAGCAGGCAGAGTGGGAGAGGGAGAAGCAGGCTCCCCGCTGAACAGAGAGCCCGATGCGGGGCTCGATCCCAGGACCCTGGGATCATGACCTGAGCCGAAGGCAGACGCTTAACACTGAGCCACCCAGGCTCCCCCACTTTGTGACATTTGTATTAGCAAACAGAGAAAGGCTGCCTCTATGCCTCAAATAAGAAAAGTTTCAGAGGCATGTCCTCCCCACCAGTCATCTAAGGTATAAAGAAGTTTCTTGGGTCACCTCGCCCTTTTCTCCCAACCAGAAGCAGGAACCAGAGGGATGTCCGTGGAACTGCATCAAGATCTCTACTTCTGCTACTTTTGAAATAAAAGAGAAACGTTACCAGAAGGCTGAGAAACCAGGGCAGATAATGTCTGATTATAACAACATTATCTTGGGTAAAAAGACAAAATGAAGGTCATTGAAAAACTCCCCTGACTCGGGTTTGTTTCTCAGTTCACAGTGTTTTATTTCACTTTCATTTAAAAACAACCAAACAATTATTTCATCCCCCTTGATCTCTAGCCAATAGAATCCTAGGAACAGTGTTGGACTCCCAGGATTCGGGGGACAACAGGCAACCAATAATAGCTCCCAAGAATCTGCTACCAACAATCTCTGCCGAATCCACAATGGAGCGAGGGTCCTGGCAGCTACATGACTCTGCTCTGGAGGCGGAGGAACAGGAGATACGGAATACAACTGAATGTTCACTGTCTGCTGTGCTGAGCCTCTGAGGTGGCAGGCCTGACCAAGTCCAGGGCCTCGCGCCCAGAGCCACGCCCTGTGGGACATCACCGACACCTGTGTGACGCCCTACCTGGTCTGGTCAACAATCCTTCCTCCCGCTCCTGGTAGAAGAGAGGCGGGCTCTGACAGCAGACTCACTCAAGTCCAAACCTGGCTCCCAGCCCTTCTGTGTTGTGGGAATTTAGGGAAGTCATTTGATCCTTTCTCTCAGTTTCCTGCAGCTATAAAATGGAGAGAAAACCTACCTCACAGGTTGTTGGAAGGGTTCAGTGGGATAACCCATACAAAGCATCTTGCATAGCATCTGGTCCCTAGTAGGACCCCATAAGTCTAATGCCTTTCCAAGCCAATACACCTTCCGCTTTTCCTTCCCTCGGGGCCACAGATACGCTGGGTCTCCTGACCCTAAAAGCACAGTCCCCACTGCCTATTGCACTGGAAAAAGATGACTTTCAGAGATGCAGGAGGATAGATCAAAGTCTTTGGGGACAATAAAAGGAACCAGGCCTTCTTGGAGAAATGGCTGATTCCAGGTCTGGGGCAATAAGATAAGCCTGGAACATTTGACCATTCCAGAAAATAAGGAAGTTATCAAAGACAACTGCTATTGTATCAAAAGAGTTAGGAGAGAACTTGAAAAGGCTCTAACTGGCCAAAGACGGGACAACTTGAGCATTAATAAAGATAATAAATAGAACTGTAGTTATGAAATCCATGAGTTCATAATGATACTGAAAATCAACCAACAAACCTCTTTGGTCACCTTTGGAAGAGCTAGGGGAACGAACTCATTATTATTATTTTTTTTTTTTAAAGATTTTATTTGACAGAGAGAGAGAGACAGCGAGAGAGGGAACACAAGCAGGGGGAGTGGGAGAGAGAGAAGCAGGCTTCCCGCAGAGCAGGGAGCCCGATGTGGGGCTCGATCCCAGGACCCTGGGATCATGACCTGAGCTGAAGGCAGACGCTTAACGACTGAGCCACCCAGGTGCCCCCGAACTCATTATTTTAAAAACTGGCAAATAGGGGTACCTGGGTGGCTCAGTCGGGTAAACGTCTGCCTTCGGCTCAGGTCATGATCCCAGAGTCCTGGGATCGAGCCCCGCATCGGGCTTCTGCTCAGTGGGGAGTCTGCTTCTCCCTCCCCCTCTGCCTGCCATGCCCCCTGTTTGTGCTCTCTCTCTCTGTCAAATAAATAAATAAAATATTTAAAAAATAATAAAAATAATAAAAATAAATACTGGCAAATAAGGGGAAAGAATTAATCCTGCCCATTCATACCTTGGGGTAATCATAGTAGTAGCTGAAAAGTTTCTCTTTATGGAAGTACCAGTACCATTAGCATTTTGTCCTAATTTACAACCCCTAATGAAATAATAGATCCAGGCAAAGGCCACCAGCATCACGGAGGGAGAGACATCAGACATCACAGACCTCCTGAAGACAGCACACAGCACAACCTATGAAGTGGTCTTGCCCCTTCCTCCACAAAAAAACTGAGCCTAAACCTTACGAAGTCTCT